GTGAGGGCCGTGAGGGCGATGAGGGCGGTGAGTTGCGTGAGGGCCATGAGTGAGTGAGGGGCGTGAGGGCCGTGAGTGCGGTGAGGGGCGTGAGGGGCGTGAGGGCCGTGAGGGCGGTGAGTGCGTGAGGGCCGTGAGGTTCAGTGAGGGTGAGTGAAGGGCTGAAGGTGAGTATGACTGTGAGGGTGAGGGTGAGTGAGGGGCTGAACGTGAGTGTAGCTGTGAGGGTGAGGGTGAGTGAGGGGCTTAGGTGAGTGTGGCTGTGAGGGTGAGGGTGAGTGAGGGCGACCTAAAATGCCGACCTCTGGTTGTAACTGGGACCAATTCCAGCTGGGACCAATTCCAGCTGGGACCAACTCCAACTGGGACCAGTTGCAACTGGGAATTGTTCCATAAACCAGTTGCAACTGGAGTCTGGGACCAATTGGTCCCAGTTGAAAAGTTTCGCCTGGGGGGGGGGGGGGGGTCACCTGGCCTCGGGGAGGGGGGGTCACGTGACCCCCCCCCCCCCCCCCCCCCCCGGTTACGTCGACGGCGACGCCGCTCAGGCTGGAAACGGGCCCCTACGCCCTAAGGGAGGAGAGCGCCGAAGGAGCGAGAGAGAAAGAAGGGAGCAGAGAGGAGGCGACTGCCATTTTTTAGCAGAGGCTGGTGCGCTTGCCCTGGTAATTCTAACATATTGTTTGCGCATGTTTTAATAATCACCTATTCAGGTAAGAAATTGTGAATACGCAGTTTGTAAAGGATAAACAGTAACTTCTTACGACGTAGTTCGGGTGGCTAAACGCCTTTTTTTCGCTTCCCAGATGCGCTTCAAATGCGCGTAATCCCCTTGAGTGGCGTTTGAGACCTCTAAATAAACTGCTCTATCTTCGTTTATGCGCGCGTTGTTATTTGTTTGTCGTTGCAGTTGCAATCAGTGGATTCCACTTTGCAAACGGGTTGACCGTAATGAATTGTTTCAGCTTTTGGGGTGAAGAAACGGGGCTCGCAAAGCTCGAGGATGTCGCGGAGCCTATACTTTTCGATTGCGTCGTCTGCTTCCGTAGACTCCCGAGTCCGCTAGAGGCGCCACTGTCACGTTCGCCGTTCCAGTACTGGCGAAGCTATATCGTATTTGCTACTACTTCTACTACTACTACTACTACTACTATGACGCCTGGAACACGTCTTCGACTGGTGTGTTTAGCGTCCTATGCTGCCCATACATCAAAAGTGGTCTTCAAGTGGCAACAAATGACGTCACAGAAGCCAGAGTGTCATGCTGTTGACTGCCGCGATCCTGGCGGTTGGCCGTAGAAATGCTGGCGAAAAGTGCGAGCGAACGCGAGTGTCGCTGTCATCACGGCGTCTCAACTTTCGGCTGCTGTGGCTTCCATGGACTGTCACAGTGGGGAGCGACCTGCAGCAGAACAGGCATCTGCCATATCCACCACAGCTGCTGGGACACCACCAGGGTCACGACCGGCGACAGCATGACACTTCTATGACGTCATCAGGCAGAAATCGAGGGACCACTTTTTTGGGCGCGGTAAACACACCAGTCGGAGACACGTTCCAGGACCATACTACCACTAAGCATAGTATTCCAGGCACCATACTACTACTAAGGGGGGGGGGGGGGGGGAGGGAGAGGGAGGGAAGGAGAGGGCTAATTGGGTGGATGCGCACAGGTGACAACCGTGACAACAAAATGCAAGGGCTATAGAAGGGTAGGAGAGGGCATGACGTCGGCCGCGTAGCCTCCACAAGCCATGCTCCCTTGACGCCTTGCCTCTTTCTCATTTTCCCCCTTACTCCTTTCTTATCAGGCCCACGTGACCGTAGCTAGCCTTCGTCTCGCTATGTTGGTGTACTAGAATCAAGGATGATAGAAGCGTAGGAGAGGGCATGACGACAGCCGTGTAGCCTCCACAAGCCATGCTCCCTTGACGCCTCACCTTTCTCATTTTCATCCTTACTCTCCTCACTTACCACGCCAACATTACCACATCACGTGACCGTAGCTAGTCTTCGTCTAGCTTTGGGGTACTAGAACACACCACAGGCTAGCCTTCGATCTGATAAAACCTACTGGACACTGCGTGCGCAAGCCTGTAAGGAGTCCTACAATCAACTATCTATCTCACACGTGACATGTCACGCACACCAATAGCCAGAGATCTAGTCACGTTGGCCACATCGTTTAAATTTTTTATGACTAGGCTTCACCAATATTGCAACGTGCCCTCTCCTAGTACTTCTAACCTCCTTGACTAGAATACACCACAGCCTAGCCTTGGATCTGATAAAACCTACCGGACAGAGCGCACGCAAGCCTGCAAGGAATCCTCCTACAATCAACCATCCATCTCGCACGTGACGTGTCACGCGCACCAATCGCCAGAGAGATCTGCGATCACGCTGGGCACAAAATCGTTTCAACTTTTTGTGACTAGGCTTCACCAATATTGCAACGTGCCCCCTCCTATTACTTATAACCTCCTTGGTTAAACCGAACGCCGGTGGATTGGTGTACAAAATAGGAAAGGAGAGGAAGGCTTGTCAAAGCTAGAGTCACTCACTACAGAGCGCCGGCACAGTCGGCCATCTGAGATGGAGCACCTCGCTTCGCGCCTTTCATGCCGTGCCGTGAGCAAAAGCGCGAATGGGCGCGAAAGCGACCCCTTGACACGAAGTCGCTGCTTCCGAACGCGCAGCGGTTGTGGTATCAAAGGACGAAGTATCGTTATAAACGCTCATGTGGCAAGGAGCCTTCTGGAATGTAGCGGTAGTATGGATCGGAGCGTCGATATGCTACAAGTCTATTTGGGAAAGGTTTTCGACCGTGTGTCACATGATATTAGCTGTATGCATCGCGGTTTGAGCGATTTTAATTTGCTTATAAATTCCGAAATAATGCGGTTTGCCACCACGATTATTTCTCCACATTACTACGTTGCCCGAGGTCTATCTCAGCGCAAGTTTTTGACCAGTCAAGAAATCATTGGAGGGCCCTTTTCTTTAAAACAGCTTGGGATATGCAAAAGTGTTCCAAAAGCCGGGAATCATAGTGATAAAAAAAACTGCGCCGACTTTACTTAACAAAATTAACAATTTAATCAAACGTTTCGTCTCCCATGCGGGAAACATCATCAGTGAAACCTTCAAGCAGGAATCAGCGAAAAAACTTCAACAGTCCTACTTAAGCAAGCCCGTGTACACACTGCGGCCCGCGTGTGTATAAATGGCTCTGAGGAGAAGCTGGGAACACGGGGAAACCCTTCTCCTCAGAGCCGTATATTAGGAGAGTTTGGCTAATTTATGGTCTCGCCGCCGTAACGCCTCCCATCCCTCCCGAGCCAATCACCCCGCGGCACAAACTGAAAGGTGTGAGCGCATGCACGTGAACTCCCGGCTGCTCCCAGCTGAGCAGGGAGGGCCAACTCCCGGCTGCTCCCAGCTGAGCAGGGAGGGCCAACTCCCGGCTGCTCCCAGCTGAGCAGGGAGGGCCGTCTTTTTCATTTATTCGCCCAGTGGAATGCATGGGATCAACATCAAAATTTCAGTTCTTTCTTTTTAGTTCGCTGGTTCTGGCAAGAAAATGACATAATGTTACTCCTCGGCATGTTAAAAAGCTAACGATCGAACTTTTCTCGACGTTTGACCTAAAACTTTTATTTGGGCGAAAGAGAAGTCAGCCCATAGCGGACGACGCATAGCCTAAACAGTGCTCTGCGCCGAAAGCGTGTTCCGTCACAAGGGCGGTAGTTTCCTCTTTGCTCTCTCCTTCTCGCTCCTTCAGTGGTCTTCTCCATTTCCTTCAATTTTCTCCCCTCCAGCGCCTTTGTTCCCACACCTACCTACTGCCCTCTCTCCCAATATACAGCTACTATGCCTTTCCTTGTCCAACGACGCCATCTGGTGTCAGCAATAGTTCCGAAGTACTGATCAACCTTCGATACCGATTTTAATAGAGAAATCGGCCATGCATGAATGTAATATTTGGTTCTGAAGGGTGCTTATAGTCTGTTGCAACATAAGATTAGCAGTAGATGCTGAGACTCCAAAGAAAGCTTTCTACCTTCGGTAACACTTCGGTGTACGTGAAGCAAAACAAGCAGGAGGAAAAGCATCTACTGCTGTTCCTATGTTGCAACAGACTAGAGCCCGTAGATTGAGTTATTACCATAAATAGACCACTGCACAAAATGGTTTAGCATTCCTTAAAGGGATGCTGAACCGAAATTCGGATTTCACGAAATAAGATTGCAGAAGTGTTCAATAGGGTGCCATAAACCACGAAGCATCACTCATATAGCCATATCTCGAGCGGATGGCCGTATTTCTGGAAAATAAAGGAGCGAATGAGGCAGAATGTTGACATCATTTTATCGCAGAAGAGTTGAGAGGGAAAAGAAATGGCCTCGCTCCCTTTCTTTTCTGCGCCCTCGCATAGTCAAAGCAAAAAGGAGAAAATGAGAACTGCAAGGTGACGTGTCTTTTCGGCCCTTGTGCGAGCGCCACTCTTCTTTTACAAAAATACGACGATCTTGCTTTATGAACGACGTTTTGGGATTCGTAGCGTCCCGCCTATCCATTCTGCGTTGTTTTCTGAAATTCGATGTTCGGTTCAGCATCCCTTTAAGGAACCCGTAGCTTTTCCTAACGCTTCCATGGCAGGCGGTTCCGAAAACCTGGCCCGATTTGTCACAAAGTCAAGCATTCCAAAAAACATTTTTCATCTAAACAACACATCTTCGCAGTCTCACCATTACCAGCTCTTGCAGAACCTTGTATTTCGAAGGCACTCCAGCACCTTTCCATCCCTTGTCCCAGAACCCTCTGTCCTAACACCTTCTGTCCCAGAACACTTCAGAAACATACTCGAGAACACACCCTGAGGCTCCCTGAGTACCGACATACAGAGAACAGATTTATAACAGGGATAATCCAAGCTACACTGCGAGTGATCGAGATCAACAGTCTTTCACCGTCCATTGGAACAGACGAGGCACTTGTGAAGCATCTCGTAAACTTTTATTTACAGATATGAATGAAACTAAAAAGCTGAAGGATTCCCTCAGCCACCGTCAGTAGTACGGCCGTCTCGGGTTGTTCTGAAAAAAAGAAAAAGGATATTTGCTCGTTCGCTGAAAGTCTTTCGACCAAACAAAAGGCACATTTTAGAGTTTGGTAAAGCACGAGTGAAAAGTGCTTCGCATGCGGCGCAAAGCAACGGAGAACCCGCGTAGAGTCTGTTCCCCAAAACAATTTGCAGTGTCTCCTTCGCCTCGAAAATGAACAATGCATCGCCCAACGCTTATTTTCCGCCCCAACGTAGTGCGAGTGGTTTGAATCAGATGCCAAAATTTCACAGCTAATCGTTATTTCATTCGAAACTTATAAGCGATTTCCTGAAAATTTCAAGGAGGAAATGGGGCCCGCTTTCGCTCGTTTTCGGTAACTGGTGCCATTCAGCTGTCCGAGAGCGCCGTCCACCACTATTTTGCCATTGCAAGTTTCAGAAACTCATTTATAATTTTTGAATGAGATAGTTCTGAAACTTCGGCATCTGGTAGTTAGGACCGGTAGCGCTGCATTTGAGCGGGGAATGAACGTTCGTCGATACATAGCTCATTTTTGTAATCTATAATTTTTTTTCTTCTTCCTGTAGTTAAAAGTTATAGGAACACTGCGGTATTAAGTTGGCGGGAAGAAAACGTCGACACCTTTGGGCATTTTACTCATAAAGTTTAGCGTCGAATGCTAGCCTGCATGAATGGTAAACTCAAAGGCAGGTGACCGTGAAACTCCCGAAAAAGCCAGCTATCTTCTATTCCTCTGTATAACAAAAGTCGAAAGCAACATGTAGCTTACGCCAGAAAATTACGTGCAGTATAATACCACCATGCTTGCACACAACAAACAACACGTAACAGAAATACTTCTTAGTATATACCACAAAGTAAAAAATAAATTATTTCTCCGTACCTCACACCACCAATGAATGGAACGCTAGTTCATTGTTACACATTGCCAATCAATCATCGGTGCCTGCTTTGGTCGTGGTACTTACAAAATATGTGATACCATACACAGACAAGTTACAATTGGAGCTTTGTTTTAGACCACCCATCTTAATAGATGGGTACAATTTATTGCTGACAGTGCATTTTTTATTATATTATTTCATTCCATTTGATTATCGGCTGTACTTTAATAATGTGATCAGTGAAGAGGAGTTTCCCCTCGCCTTGGCCACCTTACACGAATGTTGTAAATAAGCTATACGAATAAATTTTTTCCACCTAGGTAGGTTTGTGTTTGACATACCAGTTGTACGTATGGTCGACTACACTACACTGTAAAATACCGCGGAAGCACCCAATTCGTTCAAGCGCCTACGATTAACGTTTTTCAAACTTGGGAATCCGACAAATTATACGCTAAGCGCCTGATTTGACCGGAAAAGTGCCCATGTCTAGATGAACCCAGTGTTCTCTGGAAGTAGGGTGGGCACTTCTCCGGTATTTTAGTCAACTACTTTGTGCAACATCGTCGAGGCTGGTGTAGCTGCCACGAGTGCCCCAACGCCGTCAAAGCTACTTGCACGAGCACGTGCAAAGGAGACGCACAGTGATGTGATCGGTCCGAGTAATTTTGGAGCACTTTTCGGAGCAGCTGAAATTCCTATCATCTTAAATATTATACGTAAAGATTAATATGTTGGCCTGTCCATCAGAAGATATTGTCTAATTTGCCTTCCCACTTCTGTGCAACCTTTTGCTAGCATGAATTGCTTGGCAGGTTTGATTCCCTCAAATACGGAACTAGCTGTTGCAGGTACAAGAGCCAGGCACAACGACAATATGCTGAATGATGAAGGACAGTATGAACTGCTGCGAATTGTGATTTTAGGTACAGAGCCAAAGATAAACAAAATAGTATATTTGACGGAAATCATGTTAGAACACAATTTCATTGAAGCACTAAAGGTTGAAATAGAACTGCAATTATTACTTCAGATAAAAAAAAAATTTTATCATTTGATTATTAACGTTAATTATGATTTATATGTACGACTTCATGACAACAAAAATCGACAGGTGAACAATAAACAAGCCTCAGGAACAATCCAGTCAAACTTGTCAAGTTTGCTGCCAATTTCCATGAGCTCCTTTAGCTAATTGAGTTTTAATTTTCTCCTTTCACTGTGCCATCACACAAATAAAACATATATAAAGGTAATAAGTAAATCAGCGAGTTGATATGGAAAAAAAAAAGAACAAGCTCATAGAAAAGTCCATATAAAAATATCTCCGAAATATGAAACTATCCTCGCTAAATTTTGAATATGAACAAAAAGTAAACAAAATATTGTAGTTGCAACTATACCCATTTCCACCTCAAGACAAAAAGCCAGTTTTGCGCATTGTTCATACGCGGCGCAAAGTAGTTCCTTTGAGATTTGGTTGTCGGAGGAAGGGGCGACGCTTTTGGCGTTTTGAACATGTACACCTTGATAAGATAACATATCTCATCTAAAATCCAACTACGTATATCTTAATTGTCAACATAAAAGGGAAATTAGTCATGCTCCGTCAGGAGCCAGACTTTCTTTACTACAGTTCTTGAGGTGAAAACGAGTATAGATGCAGTTTTATTCAAAATTTTTTTTAACTGCAAGGTAGAGTTGTAACAGCAACATTTACAAAGTTATGTATTTTTTTTTAAATATATACTTGATGCTTGTGCGTACAAAGCCTAGCTCTGGAGAGGTGCTTTCTCCTACGTCCGCGGCTACGCTGTGGTAAAGCAGCATTTAAAACATAGCAATTCCTACTTTGTGGTTCTCGCTTCACTGCAGTGCACCATCTTGCGGTGAGATGCGCACTCAACGAACCTAACCTACTAACCCACCAGGACAGACTACGGCCAAAAAAGAAGATTGGGCGACTTCCGAGTACTGTCAGTGACACGGAGCAGCACGTCATTTAAGTGTTAGACACGGCAAGACACTGGTTCTAAAATCGACTTTTTTGTTTATTAGTGGATTATAATGAAAATCAGTGTGCATATGTGTTTTGGCTTCCTCTTTTCAGATATTTAATTAGTTCTGCAATATCTCAATTACTTTTTGAGTTACGAAGAAAATAATTAAGCCTAATTAGGTCATTTCTTACGACTCATTAAGGAACTTTCTAATACGAATTTTTTTGCATAAGTGATATGGATTTGTAGCTAAAGACCTGTCATGCAAGATGATGCTATTTATATTTTTGTAAAGATAGATCATTGTATAGAACTACCGTAATATCCCGAGTCATCGCCCATCCCCGAGCCATCGCCCACCCTATTTTTTGGGCCAATATCGATTTCCGAAAAAACACCGAGTCATCGCCCACCCCTTCAAATACCCCAGCGCGGACTCTGCGATCCGCGAACACTCATCCTACCCGAATGACGCGGCCGCGGACCTTACAGTTCGAGGACGTCCGTGACAAAGTAAAACGAAGGAGGGAAAGACACTTCTTTTTGTTTACGCATTTCCTCCGTGAGCGACCCCAAAGTGGTCGTGTATCCGTGCGAAAAGAAAACGATGGAGATAACAAAATAAGAGTTTGTTAGTGTAACCGCGGAGTGTTAGGTCAAAGTCTGTCTCCGCCGAACTAAGGCCACCGCGAACCCGCTCCTTCTTCCCGCCCGTCGAGACCGCGGTTGTGCAATATTTTAGGCAAAGCCAAAGCGTAAATAAAGCTTTGCTGGAACGTCCTACACGGACGTTTGCAGAGCGTCCCAACCGTGCATTGATAGCCCGCCGTGCACGGACGCACGTATGTACGCACCAAACAAGAAAGTTGCGCAAGAGCTTGCAATTGACAAGGCGCCCGACTTGGCCCGACGCCAAAGTATTTGCCAACGCGACTGCCGGCTTTCCCGCTTTCCCAGCATTGCTCTTGGTCGCTTCTTTGGTCCGCTCGCTCGCTCGCTCGTTGCGCCTGGCCGGTTTTTCTATTTTCTTGTAGACTTTTCATTCTTTTTTTTTTACTAACTAGGAAAACATAGTGGTGACATTCTTTCACGGAACAAACGTTCGCGCTATATGCAGATCGGCGGTGTTTCTAGCGCGTATGCAAGCAACGGACTTCGCTATAGTAAAATATTCTTTCGTGAGCATTTTTTTCTATAAAATAATGAAACTAAATCGAGTTTTGAGTTTGATGTATCTCTTGTGCGTCAGCGCTAGATACGCAGAGAGAAATAGGCGGTTTTTTCCGCTTTTTTTCAAGTGTTTGTGCTCACCCACCGAGACATGGCCCACCCCACTTTTTTAACGAATTTCAGGCGGTAGGGGGGTGGGCGATGACTCGGGATATTACGGTAGTCTAATTAGGTCAAGTACACTATTTAGAAAGCCTAACGAGGACACATTATCACTAGTAATAAAATTTCGGGCCCATACTGTCATACAAAAATAGCATCACCCTGCAGTTCACTTTTATTTATTTATTTATTTACATACCTCTAAAGGCTCCAAAGGAGCATTACATAGAGGGGGGTGTCGTATAAAATTTTACATAATCATACAATATTTTACAAGAAAAAATAGAAGACATCGTGTCACGCTAAACAGAACCATGAAGGGAAGACATTACATAACAAAAAAGCCACACACGCACTCACATCATTGGAGGCAGTCGACGTGCTAGAAAAAAAGCAATAGACCCAGCGAGCGAGTAACAAACATACAGAACAATATATGATTCATTCACCCTAAAGATTCACGCAATAACAACATAAATGTATCATGATCAGTGACCGTCGCAATTTCGCTTGCCAACTCATTCCATTCAGTCGCCGCTTGTACGAACGGGGAGTATTTGAACAGATTAGTTCTTGCAAATGGAATATGAACTTTGTAACAATGATCATGACGAGGGGAAATGCGAGCCGGTGGGAGAATGTTGTTTTGACGGAAATCTGAGGAACTATGATAGAGTTTATGAAAATGGGATAACCTTGCGAGGTATCTTCGCTGGTGGAGAGTCAATAAACCAAGTGAACTCTTAAGTTGACTGACGCTTATAGGTGAATACGTTTTTAGTATAAACCTGGT